GTGGGAAATCCTATTATGGTAATTGAAAAGTGGAGCCTGGAGGAGGTGATTGGATTGTAGGACCGTGCAGTAGTGAGTAGACTAATAATGGTGGTCAGGGGCGTGGCTTGGAGGCCTTTAAAAGGAGAGTGAATGAGGAAGTTGTTCTTTTGCTCTCGCTCTGCTCTCTCTCTGCTTCCACCATCTTGCAATGTGAGACCCCTGGGTCACTGTCACCACCACCAGATGGACTTTGGACTTCCCAGCCTCAGAAACTGTAAGCAATACATTTCGTTTTCTTTATAAATCACCCAGTTCTGTGAATTTTGTTATAAGCAACTGAAATGGATTAAACCACTGAGAAAAAAGGAAGAAGGTAGACAGACAAACATACCAATAATAGCAAAGAGAACAGCACCAACACATGAGCCTAGATGGCCTCAGAAAGAGAAATGAGAACTGCCCTGTGTGTTCCCGGGTGTGTGTGTGTGTGTGTGTGTGTGTGTGTCTTTATATATTGTCCTGGGAAGGGGGTGTTTCGGCGGTGTTTCTCTATCCTAACTAAGGGGAGGAACATTCCTCTGTGAAGGAGGAGGTAGGGTAACTAAGGCCTAATGAGGTAGTGTCAGCTTCTGGTCATGTGCGGAAGTCACTTGCCTTAACCTTGTCTGTTACAGGTGAAAGGTGGTAATGGTGGCTGTCTGCACTTTTGTGCCTCCTTGCGCTCAGGTGCGACAGTGCGGCATGCTGACTGGCTGTGGCTCAGCTGTTGCCAGTGCATTAGGAGTCCATTAACTGCCAGGCAAAGAGGTGGCAGTGCTGATCCAGCCCGAACATTTATGAGTAGCTTCCCTGGGGCGTGTCTCTATCCTATTCCTGCCTCAATTTGACATCACATTTGCATTCCTGCCCTTTGGGTTTCCTCATTTGTGTCATTTTATGAAAGTTCCAATTTACTTATGTTCTGGTATTTTCGGGAAAGAGTGACATGAAAGTTGGTTAATGAGATGTGGTTCTGTAAACAAGCAAAGCCATGCTAAATATAGTCTAAATGATGGGCAGCTATGAGTTTAAAAGCTATAATGGAATTGAAAATTTCTTTGATGACATTATAAACTATGGCAGAGAAGTGTAGTGTGTGATGGTATCTCTGTAACATAGCTGAACCGAATTTATGTTATGTGCACGTGTGTGTGTGTTTGTATACACACATTTATGGTCCTGTTCTTCAATGTTTATTCTGTTATATCTTATTTCCCTCCTATTGATCAGTGCACAGTGACTCTTCCTCCTTAAATCAGCCTGTGCCTCTCTCTAGGTGATAAGGAATCTCTAATGCAGGCTCAGGCATGCCTGGCTCTGGTCATCCCCCATCAAATCTGTCAGTATTTAATATTAGCCTCATCTCTGCTAGGGGATAGGAAATCTAAACCAGCATTTCTCCAAGTGTGGTCCTGGGACCAGCAGCACCAGCATTTACCCCCCGTCAAATCTGTCAGTATTTAATATTAGCCTCATCTCTGCTAGAGGATAGGAAATCTAAACCAGCATTTCTCCAAGTGTGGTCCTGGGACCAGCAGCACCAGCATTTCCTGGTATGTGGTAAAAATTCTTATCAGAAGCGTAGGCTGGGGCTCAGCAATCTGGGTTTTAAGGAGCCCTCCAGGTGGTTCTGATGCTCACTCACGTGTGAGAGCCACTGGTCTTAGCTTTCTCTTGCTGCCCTGTGTCCTGTCTGCCTGGGTGCCCGCATATCTATGAACTTCAGTTTTTCCCCTTTAACTTCCTCATGGGTGGATCTCTGGCCTCTCTGACTGGTTTTCTGCCCTGATTTCAGATTGACACTTTAGTTCTCACCTGAGATTACCACCTGGCCCACTAGACTGGAGCCCTGTCAGCTCCTTTCCCTAAATACATCACAATGCTGCTGAGATAGGAGGTGCTCAGTTTCCCTGGGCTCAGGTTTCAGGACACACCTCTGGGCTTCAAGCCACTCCCCAGGGCATCAGGCCCCTCCGCAGGGCCCTCCCCTAGAGGGAAGTTACTGTTGCTAGGTAGACCTACTTTTGCCATGAACTCAGGAACATTGAGAACTCAGGGGGCTGGCTTATGCAAATCCAGTGGCTGGGCATGCTCAGTACTGAAGGGCTATATAACCCTCATAGCCAAGCATTCTCAGTGGAAGAGAGTTTACCCTTTGAATGACTTTCCACTAGGGGTCTTAAAGAGCACAGAATATTCTTCAATATGTCTGGTGCAAGTGATAGGATTTGACCAATGAACATGCTCCAAAAAGAGACCAACTGAACGTGTGCAGACTATGTTACATGTCTGGAAACCACCCCCTTAATTGAAAATTCATTAGATAGCAAAACTATAAAAGCCGAATTCCAGCCGAAGGTGGGGTTATTGCTCACTTTCCTGGGGCCCACCTGCACTTGGCTGGCTGAGGTGTGCATGATTTCTTTTTGTATCAAACTTACTTTTAGCAGGTGGCTGCTCACTCTTGAGCCAGCCTGAACTCTGTACTGAACTTTAAGTGTGTATTTCTTACTTTTGCATTAAACTTGGTGTGGGCCCTGCCCAGTCTCTGGAGCTAGGCTGCACTCTCTCTGTGGAACTTGTATTTCTTATCCAGCACATTAAAACTGTTCTCACTTTCTACCGTGACTCTGATCTTGAATTCTTTCCTGTGCTGGAGTCAAGAATCTGGTGAGAGGATGGATGGGTGGAGGCTGGCTACCAGGCCTCCCAGACCCTTCCTCCAGCACCACTACCTTTGTCCCTTTTTCCTTCTGGGCTGGTGGCCAAGTATAGCACCAAATCAGCTGGGCTATTTGGAGCCAATTTCCACTGGGGCATCTCCATGGCCTGGCAACCCCATGTTGTGCCCCTGGCAGGAGACCATAATAACACTGGCCGAGGTGGACCCGCCAGCCACCTGGCCCCTAGACATTGGTTGACATCCCCATCCTTCCCTGTCCTATCACCTGGATAACTGTCCTAACCTGTCGAAAGCCCCACTATTATACTCCCCTCTCCCTGCTGAACCAGATATCATGAGACCGCCTACGTTATGACACCTATTTGAAGTTAATGATGCCTTTGAAAAACTCTCCTGTAGGAGAGTTAGGTAAATGCTAGGATAAAACATGTTATTGATTTGGGGACAACCTCTTCATAGTAAAGAAAGAAATTGTAGCAAACAAGTTATATTTGATTACTTTAAGAAAATGTTGACATCCCTACTTTACGTTCTGAGTATTCTAATTTACCTGATAGGGTACTTAATACTTTCATCTTGTGAGACTGGTGTCCTCTAACTTTTGCTTTCCAAGCTCTATTTTTTCCATGCATGGATCCACCTGCTGAATTTTATTTTCCAGAAACCTGAACATACCACTGTCTTACAACCAGTTCACAGGGGACCCAGCGCGGTAGAGTTTAATGTAATATGTGTACTCATGCATAGGAGCCTACGGGTAACCACCGCTGTGCAAGAAATTGCAGGTCACATTTATATGCCTAGAAAATACTTCAACAAGCATTTTGAAACACCTTCTATTCACTTTTAGTCAAAGTGTTCAGCAAATCCACAGCACTTCAATAGGTCCTTTTTTCCTTGAATTTGGATTAATGCCTAGCCACTTGGCCCGGTTTAAGCATCAGCTTTCCTACACGAAACTTATGAGAACTGCTTCTGCTCCCTCTTTGTTAAATGGATAGACAACTATCAGTAAATGCCAAACAAAAACATCTATATTTGTGGTTATATTCATTTAATTTTTCATGAATTATTTATTCAGTGTCAGACACTATCCTAGGTGCTGGAATAACAGAGTCCTTGTGTGTAAGAATCTTCTCGGAAGTCCTTTTCCAGTCAGATGGATCTTCTCTTGTCAGATGAGGTAGGTATGGAATTGTCCTCACAGAGAATAGGTGGGGACCAGGGAGGGACTGCATGATCATCAAGATGTATGGATTTGAGAAAAGAAATGTCTTTGCCTAAAGCACTGTTGTTACTTTTGGGGTATGAAAATGAGGACTTGGGTCACAGAAACATTTAAATATAGACAACAACATTTTAAAATAGATTTAGACATTTTTGCAATGGGTACCAGCCATCTGTTTTTGTCAAACTGTCTGCTACCTGCAAACTTCAGGTTTATAGCAATCATCTTCCAGGCAGTGCTTACTGGAGGTCTCTGACCAGTCTTGACCCTCTTTACCTGTGAGAATGTATCTAACCTGTGTCCACAGCATCCCTCTGGCTAAACACCTGGCTCACTAACCAAATGTGCTTAAGCATTTCCTATGTTCCCATTTTTATCTTAAGTGCTGTGAGGAATTGAAAACAAAACGAATTCACTTTCTCCTTAGCATTAAAGCTTTTTCTGTATCAGTCATACTGGCTTGTGAGGATCTTGAGGATAAGACTTGTGTCTCACTTACTTTTGTCAACTCCATAGCATGTCACGCTGTACTCAATACACATTGTTGAATGAAAGAATTAATATTTGGATAAATCCCTATCTAGGGGCAGACTAAATAGACATCATCCTAGGGTTTCTAAGACTGTTGGAAACATCAGCTCAGGTGGTGCTAGATCATATTGTTTCACCTTGGGAGTGAAGGTCAACTTGACTCCAGGGAAAGTTAGTCATACTGGCTTGTGAGGATCTTGAGGATAAGACTTGTGTCTCACTTACTTTTGTCAACTCCATAGCATGTCACACTGTACTCAATACATATTGTTGAATGAAAGAATTAATATTTGGATAAATCCCTATCTAGGGGCAGACTAAATAGACATCATCCTAGGGTTTCTAAGACTGTTGGAAACGTCAGCTCAGTTGGTGCTAGATCATATTGTTTCACCTTGGGAGTGAAGGTCAACTTGACTCCAGGGAAAGTTAGGATACGGACCTGCCATTGTCCTCTTGACTGGGTCAGCAATACCAGAAATTGAACAGCACAGCCATGCCTCATAATGATTTCCTTTGCTAAACAGTGTCACTCACCTGATCTGAAGCCAAGTCAGCATGGGGGTCGTTCCTCCTCCAAACACCCAGACAGTGAAGAACACAAGGAGCAGTGTGGTGGTGAACATCATTTGTTTGGGCTGAGATTCTGTGTTCCGAATAGCTAAGGCAAAGGCGATCGCTCCTCGCAAACCTTGCAGGGAAAACCAAAAAAGAAAATAAATGTTTTGCATGTCTCATTCTCATTTGGATGTATTTATCTTTACAATTTGCTAACAGGATTACTTTTCCTAATTAAACTCTTTATTTTGATATAATTGCAGATTCACATGGAGTTGTAAGAAATATACAGAGAGATACTATATGCCTTTCCTCACTTTTCTCCCCAGCGATAACATCTTGCAAAACTACAGCACAATATCTCAACTGGAATATTGACATCAATACAGTCGAGATACACAATATTTTCATCATTACAAGGATCCCTCATCGTGTTGTCCTTTTATGTAACCACACGTACTTCCCACCCACACACTCCCTCAACACCTGATAACCAGTAATCTGTTCTCCATTTCTATGGTTTTGTCATTTCAAGAATGTTATGTAAATGGAATCATGCAGTACGTAGCCTTTTGGAATTACCTTTTTTCACCCAGTATGATTATTGGAATGTTCATCTCTGGTCATTTACTGTATCGTTGGCTTCTTCCTCTTTACTGCTGAGTAGTACCAAACTGTATGTACCATTTTACATTTCTACCGGTAATATGTCATCCAATTTCTCTGTATCTTTGCCAATTTGGTGTTGTCACTAGTTTTTATTTTGGTCATCCTGATATGTATGTGGGGTTAGTTTATTGTGATTTTAATTTGCATTTTCCTAAAGGCCAGTAGTATTGAACATTTTTTAATGTGCTTATTTGGTATCTGTATACCCTCTTCATGTGAAGTGGATCTGTGTGTCTTTCTAATTTTCTAAGTTGGGTTGTTGAATTTTTCGATTGTTGAATTTTGTGAGTTCTTTACATATTCTAGGTAATCATTGTCCTACTCTGTAGCTTGTGTTTTTATCCTCTTAAGAGAATCTTTTGCAGAGCAGGTTTTAATTTTCATGAAATCTAATTTGTTGATTTTTTCTTTTATGAATCATGCTTTTGGGGTCAAGTCTAAGAATTCTTGGCCTAACTCTAGATTCTAAACATTTCCCCTTGTTTTTTTCTAAATGTTTTATAGTTTTACATTTAAATTCATGATCATTTTGAGTTATTTTTTTGTATAAGGTGAGAGGTTTAGGTTGAGGTTCATTTTTTTACCCATGAATGTCTAAGTGTTCCATTGAATTGCTTTTGGATCTTTATTAAAAATCAATTGGGTATATTTGTGTGGGTCTATTTCTGAACTCTCTATTTTGTTCCATTGACCTATGTGTCTTTCCTTCTTCTGATAGTACACTGTCTTGATTATTGTAGCTATATGGTAAGCCTTAATATTGAGTAGAGTGATTCTTTCTACTTTATTTTTTGTTTTCAAAATTGTTTTAGCTATTCTAGCTCTTTTGCCTTTCCATAAAATTAAAGAATATTATTTTCTATATCTACAAAAAAATCCATTCTGGGAATAATTCCTTTTTAAAAATAGACTGTGTTAGACTACAAGGAAAACTAGGCTTGTGGACCACTGAAAATTAACAAATAATTAAATGACATTTAAAAATTACTTTAGACTGATTATATACTTTTACAAAGTCTATCATCTAAACTAACCTATTAAAACCTGGCTGTTTCTTGTTTTACCTTTTCTTCTTTAATAATAATATGCTAATTGAGTTTTTATGAATCCATACTAAGTATATTTACTACGGATATTAAAGATTAAATGCTAGAACATCAAATCAAATGTAATGACTGTAATAAAAATAGAAACAAACATAGACTTTGAAGAAGAGTAAATAAAAGCACAGGTAGTAAAGGAAAGGAGATAAAATGGAAGGTCTCTTGGGTAACCCAAGGCTTGCAAGACATTTATGGTCCCTGTTATACTGTGTAACAGGACAAATAAAGATTTATAATGACAGCAAATGTAAGTCAGAAAGGTATTGATTTGGTTATTTTTATAGAAAAGTTTAAATCACATAGATAAAATTTCAATGGCCCACTTTTTATAATATTTATAGTAGCATCTAGGTTTCTAAATTTCCAAATGTTTATTCATTCATTAAAGGAATTTTAAGAATTGGATGCAGGGTAGGATGAGGAAAACTATAACAATCCTGTTTTTTATTCCTAGGTCTCCGACTTACAATATAATGCTTCTTTCTTATCTCCATGCTGAGAATATGCAAGAGACAAGAGGCATAACACAAGATCCAGAGGACTGAACTAGAAAGACTTAATCCATTTTGCCTGAAAGAAGGGAGCTTCAGAAAGAGAGAACATGCACTCTGGTTATAAAATACCTTCAAGGAACAAAATGTAATGGAGGAAGGAAATTATTCTAAATCTCCATGTAGACATGGAAATGGCCTGAGGATAAGAAAGATAACATTTGAAGTAGATATTAATAAAAAAGTTCTTATATATCAGAAATTCTGAACACTTGAGATGACTGTACTCAAGAAGGAAAGTGTCCCCACCAGGGGTGTTCACGCATTCAGACCCAGCTGGGGACAAGAGAGTGGAAATATTATTAATAACTCGTAATACTGGGGACTTTTTAAATAACGTTATTTTCAGGAAATACAAATGGTGTCACTAGGAAATAGGAACTCAAGGAAACAGTCCACAGACTGCTGTATCTGGGGAGAAAATTTCTAGGTCAAGGTAAAGCTCCTAGCAGTGTTTAATCACGGTACAAGACTGGAGATAGGTGATCTTTGCATTTTCTCTTTTCCTCAAGCTCATGTTGCTAGAAATGTTCATAAAGTAGCATTACCCCGAATTAGATGATATCAGAGATATTAAGTGTCAGGAAATACAAATGGTGTCACTAGGAAATAGGAACTCAAGGAAACGGTCCACAGACTGCTGTATCTGGGGAGAAAATTTCTAGGTCAAGGTAAAGCTCCTAGCCATGTTTAATCACGGTACAAGACTGGAGATAGGAGGTGATCTTTGCATTTTCTCTTTTCCTCAAGCTCATATTGCTAGAAATGTTCATAAAGTAGCATTACCCCGAATTAGATGATATCAGAGATATTAAGTGATGAATCAGTCTCTGAATATTTGTTTTGATTTTTATGAAGATTTCATGGTTATTTTTTCCTTTGAGTTTTTTATGAGAAAGAAAAGATTACAAACTAGAATAAAAATTAAAACATGCTATATCGTGTTTACTATAAATTCTCATGCGGGATATTGAGGATAGGAAAGTAAGCAATCATTAATCTTCTTAAGTATGTTTAATAATGTATTGTTATCATGTTCAACTAGCATAACTATGCTCTTAAATCTAAATTATCTATACATGAGCAGTTCTTGGTTTAAAAATGCACTTAAAATATATCTGTTACTCTGACTTCTTAAAAATACATATCCCATCTATAAAAATCTCTTTATTTATAGGAGATGCAATATAGAGATCTCTAAAAATAATGGAAAAGTACAGCCACTGTCTTGTGGCAGGTTGAGAGACATTGCTAATTAGGGGCAAACTTCAAGAGGATGCCTTCTCACTATGATGGCCACCTAAAAAAACACAGAAAGAGGGTGTTTTGAAGAGAAGGGATCATCTGTCTGTAGCCCTGGTCACCTGTGGCACATATAGCACATGCCACATGGGGGGTGGCGTGATGGCACTGGAAACATGAGACTGAGAATAGGGAGGTTGCTGAGTGGGCAAAGTGAAGCTAATTTAGAACTCCAGAGAAGACGAGCTACTTATTGCCTACAACCTACGCATCCTTTATGACGCTACAAGTTACTTTTGATACATTTGGAACTTAGACAAATGTCAAATCAATGACCATTCATTGCTTCATTTAGTACATATGTATTGATTACCTCCAACATAGAGGCCCTGTGCACACTGATCCTGCCTTCTTAACACCATGGCTTTGGGCAATAGAAGATTTCAGGATTGAAACAAATTACTTAGGCTACCAGCAAAATACTAAAAATGGAAAATTAATATTGACAGGATTTTATTTTTAGCAAAACGTTTTTTCCAAAGAACATATACTATTTTGCTTGGACACTCAGGAAATACAGAACTTGTCAAAACTCACGTTAGGTTTTGTTTTATGAATACTTTGACTCTTTGGATTTACTTTTCTTTTTCTATTTGTTTTGGCTAACTAATCAAAATAATTCCATACTTTTGGATGTTGATAGACTATACTATTTCAATTTAAATGGGTTTACTTTGCAGAGATTTTGACATATTTCATATACCCAGTTGGAAAGTTAGTATCATCTTGGGGAATAAAGGAATTACCTGCAATTAAATGTGGTTTCATTTAAAATTGGCCTCTAAGGGATTCTTATGTTAATTATGTTGGTGTTCTGTTCATAACAATAGAAAACTATTGAACCAAGGAAGCTTTCTAGAAAGGACCCCTGCTGTACAAAATGTGCATCTTCCTGTTTATCTTTAAGGAGCAGAAGTGGAGCTTTTAATCAATTACAAATTTGCAAATGTGTTCTGGATGGGCGAAGGTCTGATATAGCTACACTTAAATCACAGGGATATAAGTACCTCTCAGGGCATCCTGATTTAAGGTGCAAAGCAATAGGGAGAAACTATAAATATTTCTTGAGCACTCACTATGTGCTAAGCTTTATCCAAGACTCAGTGAGAGAATGCAGTGATTTGTGCTCCTCTGTTGCAGTGCCCACGGTCCTATGAAAATGACTTTCTTAAAAGGTAAACTGTGATACACTGTGTCAGAGTTGCAAAAGAAGATGCTTTGAAAGTATAGTCTGATGAAGAAAAGGAAAGATTTCTATGCCTCATGAGGACCCATGCTAAGCTTTATCCAAGACTCAGTGAGAGAATGCAGTGATTCGTGCTCCTCTATTGCAGTGCCCACGGTCCTATGAAAATGACTTTCTTAAAAGGTAAACTGTGATACACTGTGTTAGAGTTGCAAAAGAAGATGCTTTGAAAGTATAGTCTGATGAAGAAAAGGAAAGATTTCTAT